GTTTTACTCGAGCAGGGGGCTTTGTTATATTCGATCAGGGGACTTTGTTATACTCGATGCGGGGGCTTTGTTATATTCGATCATGGGACTTTGTTATAGTCGTCCAGGGGACTTTGTTATACTCGACCAGGGGACGTTTTTATACTCGACCAGGGGCCTTTGATATGCACGACCAAGGGACTTTGCTATACTTGATCAGAGGACTTTGTTATACTCAATCAGGGGACTTTGTTATACTCGACCAGGGGACTTTATTATACTCGGTCAGGTGCCTTTGTTATACTCGATCGGGGGCCTTCGTTATCCTCATTCAGGGGACTTTGTTATACTCGATCAGGTGACTTTGTTATATTCGTTCATGGGTCTTTGTCATACTCGATCAGGGGATTTTGTTATACTCGACCAGGGTGCCTTTGTTATGCTCGATTAGGGGACTTTGTTATACTCGATCAAGGGACTTTGTTATACTCAATCAGGGGACTTTGTTTTTCTCTATCAGGGGGCTTTGTTATACTCGATCAGGGGTCTTTGTCATACTCGACCAGGGGACTTTGTTTTACTCGATCAGGAAACTTTGTTATACTCGACCAGGGGTCTTTGTTATGCTCGACCAGGAGCCTTTTTGTTATACTCGATAAGGGGACTTTGTTATACTCGATCAGGGGACTTTGTTATACTCGATTAGGGGATTTTGTTATACTCGACCAGGGGACTTTGTTTCTGTTGACATGGGGACTTTGTTATACTCGACCAGGGGACTTTGTTATGCTCGACCAGGGGCCTTTGATATGCTCGATCCGGGGCTTTGTTATACTCGATGAGGGGACTTCGATTTACTTGACCAGGGGACTTTGTTATACTCGACCAGGGGACATTGTTTCTCTCGATCAGGGGACTTTGTTATACTCGACCAGGGGACTTTATTATGCTTGACCAGGGGCCTTTGTTATGCTCGATCCGGTTCTTTGTTATACTCGATCAAGGGACTTTGTTATACTCGATCAGGGGATTTTGATGTACTCGTTCAGGTTCTTTGTTATACTCGATCAGGGCCTTTTTTATACTCGATCAAGGGACTTTAATATACTCGATCAGGTGACTTTGTTATACTTGTTCAGAGGACTTTGTTATACTCAATCAGGGGACTTTGTTTTACTTGATCAGGGGACTTTGTTATAATCGATCAAGGGACTTTGTTATGCTCGACCAGGGGCCTTTTTGTTATACTCGATCAGGGGACTTTGTTATACTCGACCAGGGACCTTTGTTATACACGATCCGGGGCTTTGTTATACTCGATCAGGGTTTTGTTATACCGATCAGGGGACTTGTTGTAATCGTCTGTGGGACTTGTTATTCCTTTAAACATAGCCTTTGTTATACCTTTATCAGGGCCTTGTCATACCCGGCGAGGCTTTTGTTATACTCGATCATGGGTCTTTTGTTATAGTCAAACGGGGACTTTGTTATACCTTTGACCAGGGAACGTTTTTATACTCACCAGGGGCCTTGTTATGCTCGACCAGGGACTTTTGTTATAATTCTCAACAGAGGACTTTGTTGTGCTCCCACCAGGGCCTTGTTGGTGCCTTTTGATCCGGCTTTGTTATACCTTTATCAGGGAAAGTTTGTTATACTCGATCAGGGGCCTTTGTTATACTCGATTAGGGGACTTTGTTATACTCGATCACGGGACTTTGTTATACTCGATGAGGGGACTTTGTTTTACTCGACCATGGGAGTTTGTTTTACTCGATCAGAGTACTTTGTTATACTCAATCAGGGGACTTTGATTTTCTCGATGAGAGGGCTTTAATATACTCGCTCAGGGGACTTTGTTATACTCGACTAGGGAACTTTGTTTCTCTCGATCAGGGGCTTTGTTATACTCAATCAGGGGACTTTGTTTCTGTTGACATGGGGACTTTGTTATACTCGACCAGGGGACTTTGTTATGCTCGACCAGGGGCCTTTGTTATGCTCGATCCGGGGCTTTGTTATACTCGGTTAGGGGACTTTGTTATACTCGATTGGAGGCCTTTGATATACTCATTTAGGGGACTTTGTTATACTCGATGAGGGGCCATTTTTATATTCAAGCAGGGCTTTTGTTATAATCGATCAGGGGACTTTGGTATACTCGATCAGGTGACTTTGTTTTACTCGCCCAGGGGACTTTGTTATACTCGACCAAGGGAGTTTGTTATACTCGATCAGGGGACTTTGTTATATCGATTAGGGGACTTTGTTATACTCGACCAGGAGACTTTGTTATACTTGACCAGGAGACTTTTTTATACTCGACAAGGGGCCTTATGCTCGATCAGGGGACTTTGTTATACTCGACCAGGGGAATTTGTTATGGTCGACCAGGGGCCTTTGTTATGCTCGATCCGGGGCTTTGTTACACTCGATCAGGGGACTTTTTTATACTCGACCAGGGGACTTTGTTTTATTCGATCAGGGGACTTTGTTATACTCAACCAGGGGACTTTGTTATACTCGACCCGGGTGCCTTTGTTATGCTCGATCAGTTGACTTTGTTATACTCGATCAGGGGCTTTGTTATACTCGATCAGGGGACTTTGTTATACTCGATCAGGAGGCTTTTGTTATACTCGATCAGGGGACTTTGTTATACTCAATCAGAGGTCGTTTTTATAGTCGATCACGGGACTTTGTTATACTCGACCAGGGGACTTTGTTATGCTCGACCAGGGTGCCTTTGTTATGCTCGATCATGGGAATTTGTTATACTCGATGAGGGGACATTTTATACTCAATCTGGGGACTTTTTATATTTGATCAGGGGGCTTTGTTATACTCAATGGAGGTCTTGTTATAATTTTCATCAGGGACTTGGTTATGCCTGACCAGGAGCCTTATATACCTTATAAGGGGACTTTGTTATACTCGATTAGGGACTCTTGTTATACTCTGATCAGGGGACTTTGTTATAATTTTTTTGACCAGGGGACTTGTTTCTGCTGGACATGGGACTTTGTTATACTCGACCAGGGGACTTTGTTATGCCGACCAGGCCTTTGTTGGTGCTCTGCTCCGGGACTCTTTGTTTCTCGATCAGGGACTTTGTTATACTCGATCAGGGGCCTTTGTTATACTCGATTAGGGGACTTTGTTATACTCGATCACGGGACTTTGTTATACTCGATGAGGGGACTTTGTTTTACTCGACCATGGGAGTTTGTTTTAATCGATCAGAGTACTTTGTTATACTCAATCAGGGGACTTTGATTTTCTCGATGAGAGGGCTTTAATATACTCGCTCAGGGGACTTTGTTATACTCGACTAGGGAACTTTGTTTCTCTCGATCAGGGGACTTTGTTATACTCGACCAGGGGACTTTGTTTCTCTCGATCAGGGGTCTTTGTTATTCTCGACCAGGGGACTTTGTTATGCTCGACCAGGGGCCTTTATTATGCTCGATCCGGTTCTTTGTTATACTCGATCAAGGGACTTTGTATACTCGAACAGGGGATTTTGTTGTACTCGTTCAGGGTCTTTGATATACTCGATGAGGGGCCTTTGTTATTCTCGAACAAGGGACTTTGGTATACTCGATCAGGTGACTTTGTTATACTTGTTCAGAGGACTTTGTTATACTCAATCAGGGGACTTTGTTTTACTCGAGCAGGAAGCTTTGTTATATTCGATCAGGGGACTTTGTTATACTCGATGAGGGGGCTTTGTTATACTCGATCATGGGACTTTGTTATAGTCGTCCAGGGGACTTTGTTATACTCGAACAGGGGACGTTTTTATACTCGACCAGGGGCCTTTGTTATGCTCGACAAGGGGGCTGTGTTATACTCGATCAGAGGACTTTGTTACACTCAATCAGGGGACTTTGTTATACTCGACCAGGGGACTTTGTTTTACTCGATCAGGGGACTTTGTTATACTCGACCAGGGGACTTTGTTATACTCGGTCAGGCACCTTTGTTATACAAGATCGGGGGCCTTTGTTATACTCATTCAGGGGACTTTGTTATACTCGATCAGGTGACTTTGTTATATTCGTTCCTGGGTCTTTGTCATACTCGATCAGGGGGCTTTGTTATAATTTTATCAGGTGCCTTTTGGTTATGCTCGATCAGGGACTTTGTTATACTCGCATCAAGTGACTTTGTTATACTCATTCAGGGGACTTAGTTTTTCTGGTATCAGGGGCTTTTATACTCGATCAGGGTCTGTTATACTCAACCAGGGACTTTTGTTTTACCCCGGGACAGGAGATTTTGTTATATACCATACAGTGGAGGTACACTTGCTCCAAGAAATATCTCTATGGAAGGGTCCAATGAATTTCAAACACCGTTTTCTCGGAACAGTTGTCAAAATCCTTCATCCGTTGTTATAATGTCTCGCACAAACACGTAAATGTACGTTTTGGAGTGCGTATACACACATCGAGACTGTTGTGTGTCATGTCAGTTATTTCTCGGCCACTGTATACTGTGTATGCATGTATAGTGGAGGAAACCCTGGTGTGTGGCCGAGCTTAGGGCCGAGTGGGTGAAATACCTTGTCTTCAGGATCTGCACTCATGTGGGCTTCTGTGTCATGGTAAGATAGGGTGTGTGGGGTGCGTGCATGAAACTATTTGTAACTGGAAGGGAGTTTTTAATGTTTTTATCATAGAAACTTTAGGGAAATAATGTTAAAGTAATGGGGAAATGTGTTAGCAAGTTGCTCTGGAGAAGTCCTTTTGGAATTGTGTTCAGTATGTGGTGAATGTTATGGGCTTTATTCAGCTGTAAGACTTGCTCCTTTAAGAGTTTGATATTATCCAGCCTGCTTGTTTTGGACTTTGCAGCAGAGGGTGAAAAACTAAGTTATTTAATGGATCACCTGGAGATTACCCACCCCACATTATTTCTTTATTTCACCTGAAGATTGATGACGCTAGTGGTAAACTAACCTAATCCAATCTAACCCCAAATAGCATTACTGTGATTCATCTTCAAATGAAATAAGCTTGGGTGTCTATCCTTCAGGTGGTCTCATGTAACACACTCTGGGTTGGCACCGTCCATGTTGCGAGACATTATCCTCAGTGTCACGGTGTTTACCCTTAAAAGTTCATTCAATGTATTGTTTTGTAGTGCATGTTTCTCAGTCAAAGAAATTCAAAATAATGTTAGTGGAATAAACATAAAGAGCAATGAGGAATCCTGTGGAATCCAACAGAAAACATAAATCCAAAATATAAAATACTAATGATATTTATCAGTTGCAATTTGTTTAATAGTGTGGATAGTGTACTGTGTATATTAGTGTTTTATGATACAGTAGGGGATAAACTTGCCAAAAATAGGAAAAGCAAAGGAATACATCAGTGTAATAAGAAATAAGATGTTGTAAAAATGGACGGTGTAATAGTTTAACTCCTCCGCCCTGGGCTAGGGTGTCGCTGGGCGTACCCCCCACCCGGAGGAAAATCGAGAAAAATAAACTTTTCCCAAAATTGTTTTTAACCTTTTTAAATGGTAAAACAATAAAAAAAGTAGTAAGAAAAACTATATATTGACCCTCTAGAACTTCCCTGAGGCCACAGTGGGGAGGGAGATAAAGGAGAGTGTTGTATTGACGGCTGACGCTCGTGGTCACTATCTACTTAGCGGCCATTTTATGCTTGCCTTTGTGTCCGGGATGGCCAGTAATGCATATATTTACTGATCATAATACTTATTTCCTATAAATAATTCATTTAGAATTTGATTTACTGCATTAGTTTTCATTAAAAGTGCTCAGTGACACACACAGTCTGTCACCAAGTTGAGGTACGACTCTCCATGGTGACAGGCTAATGCATACTAACCACACTGAGCCCACCCACTCTACCCTGCGTGTCGCGTGACCATCAAATAGTCATGCTGGAACCTAATGACCCGCCCTGGGCATTCAAACAACGGCGCATAAAGGAGTGCGTTCCAGAACGTCAACCTGGGCACCCTAGATGGACTTGCCAGAACGCCAACTGGGGCGTAGGGGTTAAAAATATTTTTAAAATTCAGTATTTGTGAAGTTAAATGTGCAGAGATGCAAAAATTAGCTTATACGAATTTCCTAAATTAACACCTCTTTCATTTAACAAAAGTTTCCTCGGCTTATGTGAAGTTTGGTCCAAGTTAATATTCAAATTATGACCCCCCCCCCCGGAGTCAGCTGGGGCGACCACATCCCCCTGGCCCCTCTCCCTACAGGCTGAGGTGTGAGCTATGGTTATTTTTCAACTCGTAATTTCTGATAGATAAACAAAACTTTCTTCATAAATTTTCTCTTTTACCCAGTTACATACACACACAATCCTACATATAGAATGTGCCCTCAAAAAAGGGTAAAAGAAATAACTATTGTATCAGTGTTTAAAACATAAAGGGAACAAACATTTCTTAGTGTGTGAGAATGGAACCAGAGTGTGGGAGCCCTTTTGCTATGGGTTGACAGATGTGCGATGGTGAGGCTCGAGGCTATACAGCTAATGTCTATGCAAATGGTGGTTGTGTTAAACCTTTAGATTTTCCTTAATGATTTTAGCTGCATGTTTTCATCTAGATAGTATTTTATTAATGCTTTTATTGTGTTAGGTTGTAAATTACAGTACAGTCATTGTGTACTATTTATCATTAGTTAGGTAGTTTTTTGTTGTTCATGAACTTTCATGATACAGTGGTCCCTCGATTAATGAACATAATTGGTTCCACAGAGTCGTTTAACCTAAAATTTCGTTAACTGAAAATTATTTCAATGAGATATTGGGTAATTGGTTCCAACTCACAGAAAAAGTATACATACAATGTACAGTAAAGCCTTGAATAACGACGTTAATGTGTCCTCCAATATTGCAGTGTAAGGTGAATTGTCTTATCGCGAATCATTAATTACCATCAAAATAAAGCAATAATAATGAGATGCGTTCCCTAGTGTGACCTTTTCATATCTTTTGTGTGGCTTTTTACCCTCTTCCCTCAAAACAATACAATTAATGAAAAGTGCAAACTATATTCTTTAAATAATGTTTATGAATACACCTTATACAATATAAATGAATAATAATATGGTCACACAAGAGGAGATGGGACGCCATTGTTTTCGTTTGTGTTTACAGCCGGGAGTCCGGGACGATAGTTCTACACTGTAAAATGAAGAAAATAAGACCCTGGTTGTAGCTGTAGTAAAATTAATGTTAAAAAATTAATATATATGTTTTAAGTAATGTTATTTAATGTTAATAAATGGAACAATAGAAGTAGCTAACCACTAATAGCAAAGAACAAAATACAGATGGATTGGGAATGCCAACATGTACGTGCACATTTAAGGATACCTAGACTTTGTTATATTTCACACAAATCCTGTTCATCGATATATCTTTGCACAAATGTTAGGGATTGCATTTGGTGTCCTTGTGGCACGGTGGTAGCAATCCCTGGTCACACGCAAAAGGTCGAGGGTTCGAGTCCTGGCTGGTGAGGTTGTTGATTATATACTATATACTTACACATTACAGTACATTGTAAATTTTTCCTCCTAACTTTTACTTTTCTCAACAGGACACGACACAGCACCTGGCGAGCGACTTGATCGGCCTCTCTTTCTGGATTATTTTGATAAAAAAGAGCAGGAAAAGAAGGTGAATTTTGACTATCATGTTGTCAATATTGAATACAGTAGTTTTGAATACCTTTTAACCTTTAAACTGCAATCATCATCATTGGAAGTTTCATGTTCCTGGCATTCCATATTTTGAACGTGTTGGAAAATAGTAGAGAATATTTAACTGCTGGTTGAGAGTTAATGAAATATAATACATAAAATTTCTGTATATAAGGACACCAAACTATAGTGCAACAGTTAAAAAGTCTCATGATTCCATCTCCACCTTGTAACAGGCCAGAAGTAAAGGCTTGAAGGGCAACTCCCCAGTGGACCAGATGGTAACACAGCAGTATATGGGCACCGGCCGACCTATTGTCACACAGCAACATCCTACTTCACAAACTACGCAGGTGAGTCTCGGAGTACAGTAAAGCCTCCGATAACAACGGTTTGACCAGCAACTTTTCATATTTAAAACCCTAGTTAATTTAGGACCCTATTCAATATACGTCTTTATTTCATTCGTAATTACTACCAAAATATAATAAAAATAAAATAAAATTACATTTTCATATAAATAAAAACTAAATCCCGATATGTACTGTATTATTAAAAAAAAATGTAAAAGTAATTAAGAGCGCCTTGTGCAAAGAAGCTGCCTGGCTAATGAGTGGTTAACAACAGTCTGAGCTTGGCGGGCCTTTTGTTTTTACGCATCTGGAACAGGAACTAGAGAAAAACTTTCAGGTTTCTTCAGCATTTTTGCATCCTTATTCAACATGAGCAAGAGAACAAGTGATGGTAGTGTTGTTTCAAAAGCTAATAGAAAGTGTCTAAGCTTAGCCGAGAAACTAGACGTGTTAAAACAATATGAAAAAGGTGAGAGGTCTGTGGATATTATATGGAGCAAGCAATGAACATATTTTCTGAAGTGGATCCATTAACAGAACAAAGCATTAAACTTTAAATAAACTCAAATGACCTCTACATAAAGATGTATAATGAGAAAAGAAAGCAGCTGTGCAAGATTCTTTCGACAGCTTTATTATTCAAAGGCCTAAACCATCAACTTCAGCTACACCGTCAAATTCAGCATCATAAGCAGCTTAAACATTAACTTCAGTAACAGTTTCAGCAACAGCTTTATGGAAAGCTTCAGCTAGAGTTGAACCTGATGACTTCATCATCTGAGTAGTACCTCGCACAATATTCATTGGCTGTCCTTATGTTTTAGACTTTACCGCCATTGGTGAGTAGAATTTTTGTTTTATATTCATAAATATTATTTAAAACATATATGAACAGTAAATAAGTGTTGCTTTCATATTCATATGTTGAGATGAACAATATGTTTTCACATGTACGCATCATACGTTGGTGTTCCCAATCGTCTCACCTTATTTCTTTGCCATTAGTGGTTAGCCACTTCTAGTGTTCCATTTATTAACATTAAATAACATTACTTAAAACATTTATACAGGTATTCAATTTTTTTAAATTAAGTTCACTACAGCTACAACCAGGGTCTTATTTTCTTCAGTTTCTTATGTAGAACCATCGTCACTCACGAAAACAATGCCGTCTTGTCTCCTCGTGTGTGTTTTAATATTCTACGTATTATTAATGAATTGTATAGTTCATTTCACATACATAAACTTAAATTCAATCAAATACATATTCAGTAATAACAATAATGAATCTCTTGTACATATTCTTAAGATAAATGACTGTTTCCTTGAGTGCGCACATATACATGCTCCTAATCCACTCCTTTTTTTTTTTTTCTTTGCCATTAGTGGTTAGTTACTTCATTGTTCCATTTATCATTAACGCTATTTAAAACAAATATATCTATTTTTTTTACATTATTTAATACAGCTACAACCAGGTCTTTTTTTCATTTTCGCGGTAGAACTATCGCCCGACTCCGCTGTAAACACAAACGAAAACAATGGTGTCCCATCTCTCTGTGTGACCATATTACTTTTCATTTATATTGTATATGCATTCAAACATTATTTATAAATATAGTTTGCACTTTTCTATTAATTGTATTGTTTTGGGGGGAAAGGAGGGTAAAAAATACACAAAAGATATGAAAAGGTCACACTTTGGGGGAACACATCTCATTATTATTGCTTCATTTGATGGTATCACTATTGATTCATGATACGATGATTCACCTTACACTGCAATATTGAGGACACATTAACGCTTATTCGGAGGCTTTACTGTAATAAGGACCACTAGTTCAAGAAGGTGTGGTGTGGGGTTTGGTGATTGTAGCTGAAGACTTACTAAAAATACAGTAGGCTCTTATATTTGGACACCTATTTACAGTAGGCTCTCATATTTGGACACCTATTTAGACTGTAAAAACCTCGCAAAATTCAAATTGTCCAAATTTAAATACAAATTCTTATTGAGAAAATCAATTTGAGTCTGGTACTTTCGATGTTTGGCTAAATTTTGCCTTATTTACCCTACTTTTTTGGCAAATTATTACCTGTAATAAAGCAACATCCTAATAAACCAACGAAAATAACACAGATAAAGTTAAATAAAAACTAAAGACAACACAGAAAAAGTTCTTATGTTTTACAGCTTGAGCTAGAGTTGAACCTGATGACTTGGCAACTTCTTCATCCTAGTAAAAACACGCTCAACAACATTGGCTGTCCTTATGTTTTCAACTTTACTACCACCAGTGGGTAGAATTTTTGTTTTAAATTCAGAAACATTAATTAAAATATCAGTGTATAGGAACAGTAAATAGGTGTTGCTTTCATATTCTTATGTAGAGTAATGACGATATGTTTTCACATGTGCTCACTTACATACATGATCTCACTTTTTTCCTTTACCATTAATGGTTAGCTACTTCTATTGTTCCATTTATTAACATTAAATAACATTACCCTGTACTTAAAACAACCATATTAATTTTTTTACATTAGTTTTACTACAGCTACAAACAGGGTCTTATTTTCTTCAGTTTTATATGTAAAACCAATCAGTCACGGGGTTTGTAAACATTAACGAAAACAATGCCGTCTCGTTTCCTCGTGTGTTTTAATATTCTACGTATTATCAATGAATTGTATTGTTTATTTTGCACACATAAACATTAATTCAATCAAAAAGACATTCAGTAATAAACAATAATGAATCTTTTGTACATAAGAGAAATGACACTGTTTACACGATTTGTGCACGTCGTCTGAACGTTGGCGGGCCGCTCAAACCCGTCGATATTTGAAATCGTGTAGTTTTTTTTTTGTCCAAATATAAAATGTTGAATTAAAAACTCGCAAAATTTGAGAACCTGCTGTAGATAAAAAATGCGAACTATAAGAATTAAATAGATGATAATTGTGTATCCTGAATAAATGTCCTTAACGGGTGACAATTATATGAACGAAGTAACTTGACTAATTATATACTGGGAGTCACTGTTACCTTATTTATTGAATGAAATCTAGAAATAATAGTTTGGTAGTGGGTAAATCAGGTCGGTATTTAGGTCTTTGATGTGGAGTTGGAACACTATAGTGGGGTACTTATCACCGTCTGAGGTAAAGAATGACAGCAGACCATGGCTTAGTTTACTGTTCAGCCACTGTGTATAGTAGGAATATGTTTGTGAATAAGGGATGTAATAGGTGTAAAGGAAGTGGGAGCCAAATAGGACTTATAAGAAAAACCTTAATTTACTATATATATATGTAAGTATTTGTGAGTTGTAAAGTATGCCAACTTCTGATTTGCAGTTATCATTAGATGAGAAGCATATATTGCAACAGCAGCAGCATTTGCAGCAACAGCAAGCACAATCCAACCTACAGCAGCAGCAACAGCAAGTTAATCTCCAACAGCAGCAGCATCATCAGGTCCAGCTAAGAAATCAAGAGTACGAAAAGCAGCACACTACGGACAATACCATGGTGTACCCCCCCACCGCCTTAATACACTCACAGCCGAAGCCTATGTCTGCAGAAGAACGAAGAAAGTTTGAGGTACTGTATTGACAGAAGTGGCTTTGTTTATATAATACTTTACATTCATTAATAAACTTTGGAGTTGAGTAATATCACTGGGACAAAAAAAAAAAGCAAGTTGGTTTAGTATCTGAAAAAAATATGGGTTTTGCTTATTAGGTCTATGCCAAGCAGTGTTTGACTACGTGTGGAAAGTGTTGGACATTAAGGCTCTGGTGTTGATTTTTAGATGGATGTTTTATTGGTTAATTGAGCCCCCCAGCTATAGTAGACTCCTAACCTCATCTGACTGATTGTTGTGGCTTCTCAGTGACATGGGTAAGGTTAGGTTGGGTTGGGTTGGGTTGGGTTGGGTTTGGGTCTATCAGCACACAATCCCTTATGAACCCCCAACTCTCCCCCTTATTTTCAAGGTATAACATTATAAATACTATGAAAATTACTGTATAATGATAGAAGGGATGCACAATATAATGTTTTTTTATAGTGTATTTTCAGTTGGTTTTATGTGTAGTTAAGGAAAAAGTCCGCATCCATGTTAAGGTGATAGCTAACTAGTGGAGAAATTACCTTATAACTAATGGGGAAATTACCTTATAACCAGAAAATATAGCATGGTAATAAGGTAGAAAAATAACACATCAGGATAATAGTATTGAAATCTTATTATATAGAGTATCCAAGGATAGGTACATTAACTAACACCATATTACTGACTGTGCTCCTTCTGTCTGTGCAGCATGCAGATATGGAGGAGAAAAATGTAAGTACTGTAGTGCATTTATATATTTGTTTAGAGTGTTTGAAGGAAGGTGTCTATTTTTGAGTAGTAGATTATGTTTTGTTGAATGCATTTTTTCTTTTTTTTATGGGCACTTGGTTATTGAGTGTGGTAGTCAGGTTAGGTTATAGATGTTAGTTCCTCCATCATACAGTCGTGTCAGAGGTAATGGGACTGAGAATTATGTAACGTCAGACACGGACTGTAGCCCGAAAATTGCCAGGTCTGGTATAATGGAAAGTAAGATGGTGAGTGACGAAGACGTGAGTCACTGAAAATGTCCGTCTGATTGCAGTATTAGAAAGGTTGATCAGAGTATAAATGTCAATACAAGTTAAACTAAGGTAACTAAATGCTTCTGGGTGTGATGAGACAAATAATGAAAACTGTGTAGCATGAATTGGGATGCCTTTACCCTCACTGTATTTGAAACATGATGCATAAGGTGTTTAATATCAAATACGGCAAATACTGTTTGTAAAAGTTAGCGTAATTGGACAATTTTCCAAAAAGGTTGATTTATCGTAAGACTATTTGGAGTCAAGTTTGTCTTATAATAAATTGTTATGCAAGCAAACAAGTAACAGAGTCAATGATGCAAACTGTGATGACCTTAACATTAACTATCAGACAGAACAACTGTTATTACTCTCCAGTCTTGACCAATTGTTAGGTGGACAGACTTGCTTAAGTCCACAGTAGCTGACTCTGTAGATTTAATGTTTTGAAGACACTGGCACCACCGATGAGAAGCCAATGTCATGAGGCTGGAGGTGCTTTACAAAATATTAGTTAAATATCAATGAAGTTTGAATATTGTCTTCCTGTTTAAGAAATTATTGAAGATCTTTGAAAAGAAAATATAGAATATTTTGTTTATTTCCGTTCCTTTTTATTTTTACATGGACCAAAAGTAAGTCTTGAAAAATCATCTTGGCAACAAAAGATGTGCAATGTATTGTTGCCAGCTCCTAAAATTACAGTATACTGACAATTTTCATTTGATATCCATGCTACTATAATCTCAACAATATTCAATGCTTATTTATTGAAACTTTCACCAAGCATCTTATATTTGTTGTTTAATAATGTGCCCGACAGTCGGAATGAGAAAATATTGACATGCACTTGTTCCCATAAAGTACTTGACACTATAAGGGTAGCATTGTGAAGCCAGGTGTGAGAACCTTGTATAGAATTTGTTCCCCAGTGTGTCATAATGTTGGAGACTGATGGGGTAAAAGTACACTATGGTCTGACTGTACATCTGGCATTAAGGGAATATGAAATGTGTGTGTGCGTGCACGTGCCATAGAGATCAGGTGTATGATATGATAGAGTACCGTATATTGTGTGATTATTTAATGACTAGTTAATTCAAAATTTTAATTAGTCAAAATATAGAACTATAAAATAAAGGAAGAGATGGAATGATTGGAATTATACTTATTATAACAGAGTAGAGTTTGGCTGTATTTATGGACTTGTCAACACTTGCTTATTATCAAAATAAGTTTTTTCTTTTTCTTTGTCTGGTGTAACGCTGTGTTAAATTGTTCATACGAGCAATTTATTCGTTTTTTTCTATCAATGCAAAATGTCATGATTGAGTATAAGGCTTTGAATTACTGGTGGTAGGAAGATCTGTTGATGAGTTAGGTCCACATTGTTCTGTGTCTGATGAGTGTATGAGTCACTCCAGGCAAGGAGATGATGACCAACAACAACAACAACAACAATAACAACAAAAACACCACCACCACCAATAACACCACCACCAATAACACCACCACCAATAACAACACCACCACCAATAAGAACAACACCAACAACAACAACACCACCACCAATAACAACAATAACACCACCATCAACAACAATAACACCACCACCACCATCAACAACAATAACACCACCATCAACAACAATAACACCACCATCAACAGCAACAATAACACCACCATCAACAACAAT